TACATTTCTGAAAGAAAAATACTTCACTATGGTGCTAAAATAACTTTTTATATAAAATTTTGGGTATTTAAATTACATATGCAAGTTTGGGGTGTTCATCTCACACCCCTTCAAAGTTCGGGGTATTTTAATTATTTTTCCCTAAATTAAAATACGTAATGTTTGAGATGGTAAGAAGATACCAGTCAGTGATATGTTCTGTTACTTGAGCTCCATAATTCAGAATGACATTGAGTTAGATGGAGATGTATCCCATATAATCAGAATAGGGTGGATGAAGTGGAAGAGTGCGTCAGGATTTCTTTGTTATCGAGCTACGCCGACTAGACTAAAGGGTAAATTTTATAGGACATCAATTAGGCCTGCATTACTGTATGGCACGGAGTGTTGGTCGGTGAAACAATGTCACATTCAAAAGATGAGTGTGGCAGAGATGCACATGCTGCGTTGGATATGTGGGCATACCAGAAAGGACCGCTTGAGGAATGAGACAATAAGACAAAGGGTGGGAGTAGCACCTATTGAAGATAAGATGCAGGAGTCGCGCCTACGGTGGTTTGGTCATGTGCATAGAAGACCGAGTGATGCACCTGTCAGACGAGTTGAGATGTGTGAAGAAGAGGCCGAGAACAGAGGGAGAGGAAGACCCAAACAGACGTGGGTTAGGGGAGTCAGAAGTGATATGTTTTTTCTTGGATTGGATGAGGGTATGACTTTGGAGAGAACAAAGTGGAGGACGGGTATTCGTGTGGAGGAGTGATCTTGTATCATCCTTTCACCTCTTTTTCCCCTATTTTTTATCCGTTTATCCTTATATATAAATATTATTTTTATCCTTTTTATTTTATCATTTATATGTATATTCATATCTTTTATATCATCTTTTTATAACAGCTTATCTTTTTTATCTTTATTTTCTTTCTTTTCGTTTTGGTGATATCATGTATCGATTCATGTTAGCGATTCATGTTTTGGTGATAAATGTTGTTGTTGTTGTTGTTGTTGTTGTTGTTGTTGTTGTTGTTGTTGTTGTTGTTTCTGTCTTTTCTTGGGAGTTCAAAGGATGACAGGCTCCAAGGCACCAAGCGGATTTCATGACAAAAAAGATAACAAAGGGAAGAATTCCGGCCATTATATATGCACGAATAACCTTCCTGCAACATCTCCATGAAAGTTCTGTGATAACAGACCTCCTAAAGTTTGGTGACTTGCGATTTTGGTTGTTTCTCACACATTCCATTACTGGTTTTCAACGAGTCGGCGGCTGCTGTGTTAGATGAAGCTCTTCATGTGATGAAATTTTGGATAAAGGAAAAAGAGCGGGAGGAACATGTGATAAAATGGTTGTGGTTTTTGTTTAGCAAGACCACCCTTCATTTTTATATGGTATGCAGAGTTGCGGACAGCGAAATTCTCAACACGCCGGTATTATATTTCAACGCTTTGCAGCGGTAAGAAATCCTTCTTGGTCGGCACGATGGCACCGATAATGGAGATCGGAAAGGAGGTTCCAGCAGGCAGGAGAATCGCCGAACTCGTAACTTGTTTTTTGAAAGTTTCATTAATTTGCTGCCACGTGGACTTACGTGCTCTCTAAGGAGCACGTTACGGGCTTAATAAAATTTCTGAATAGATTAGCACAAATTAGTTCATTACATACTGCTTGACTCATAGGCCATAGCTAGTCGTGATGTATCAATTATAGAGTTTTAATTTTGTTTAAAATGTTGTAAAATAACTTTATGTTAGAAAAATACGACTCTCAGCCTTTTTCAGGATCACGAGTTAATAGACTCTTGTATACTTATATATCCACACACTCGTAATACAGACTCAATCTGACAATATCACTTTGTATTACTCTCATTCACTTTTTGTATATGAGACTACTTAACTATATCTAACTTGATCACATACACTTTATCAAGCGATATCTTCGAGTCTTCTTCTCGCACAAGAAGACTCTGGCTCTCATCTTTAAAGGAGACCCTTACTTCCACTCATTCAAGAGCTCTTCTTAAAGTTCTAATATAAACAGAAAGCTTCTGTATACTAATCTTATAAAAGTTTTTCAAAAAAAATTTATAGACCACTACACATCTAGATTCTTCCAAAAAGTATCCACAGGCTTCTTTTATCTTCTTGAAGGATTTAGAAAATCCTACAATTCTCAAAATATTCTAGGGTCTTCCACACACTTTCACACGATTTTAGTGAGTTTCACACTTCTTTAGAAAACTCCACATTATTATCCTAGAACATTCAATATATACTTCTCTACACACATGTATAAAATCTTGGACATCTCTAAAAAATTTAAAATTCTCATGAATTTCTCCAAGTACTAAGGAGGGAATCCAACATAGTCTTGAGAATGTTTTGATCTTTTTGTTACAAGAAATGTGACAACATATTCGTCAAACTCAACACTTTCTTGCTCATTATAACCACGAAAAGCCAACTCGTGTGTCATTAAATGTCTAAAACAATCTACACTTGCATTCAAATGAGTTGGTATGCTGCAGCCAATAGTTGTATTCCTAGATACATGTACGTTTCTTGAAAGACTTTGCCTTTTATTTTAAAACTTAATCTAAAATTATCCTTAATTGGTATTTATTTTTGAAAAAAGAAGGGGGCAGTAAATACATTATAAGTAGTAGTACTAAAAATATTTTCCCGAAGCGGGGGTGCTTGCCCCCTCATGCCCCTCCCTAGCTCCTCCACTGGTCGCCGACTCGTCGTACTGGTCGCCGCCATTGGTCTGTCGTCTACTTTTAAGTTTTATAAGTTCGAAGTCTGCGCTCGAGTTTCCTACTTGAAATCAGTGTGGTTATTTAGAAATTTTATCACATTAACTAAATTATCATAGGAAACTCGAGCGCAGACTTCGAACTTATAAAACTGGGCTAATGTATTTGACATTAAAAAATATAAATTTTGAAAATTCTTTTTGGACTTTTTTTAGTTAATAATACGTAGATATACTCCCTCCGTCCCTGAAACAACTTCTCACTTTTCTTTTTTGGATGTTCTTAATTTAACTTCTCATTTTCTTAAATGGCAAATCATCTACATCAAAAGATTCAAAACAGTGCAAACAGTGCAAAATGGTGCCAAACAGTGTCGAAACAATGTCAAAACAACAAAATTTACCCCTTGGTAAGTTTATTTCCTTAATATGTATAGGTCAAACTGGGAAATTGTTTCTGGGGCGGAGATGTCGGGCCGGAGATGTTTTATCTAGCCCATCCATCCGCCCATATTTTACTACTGCCTTAATAGATGATTAGTGTCATTTACTTGTTTCTAGGTTCAAGTAAAGTTTGACTGAGATTGTCGGGCCGGAGATGTTTAATTATTGTAAAAATTATTCGAGGTGGATCGTTTATTTGGGGGTTAATGACACTAATCATCTATTAATTCCTAAAAGAGTGAATCCGGGGGATGAGTTATTGGAGGCTTATAGTCTTGTGTTCGGGTGATTAATAAAAAAAATTCATGCTCTCGGCAAACCGAATGAAGGGTTATCTCGAATATAGTGTTTCTACGTACTATTCCCCCCCCCCCCCCCCCCCCAGGCAACCACAAAATTGTGGGGTAAATGATGGGAGTCAATTACCTAATTTTATTAAATCAGAAAGAGTACAAGAAAGAAAATGCAAAGAAGTACAACAATTAAAGGATTGTTTGTTTCTACGTACTAATCAAAGTGTTTTTATTGTAGACAATTCTACTGTACCCAAATATAATAATGCCTTTTGAGAATTGTCATCTTTTAAAGCGTAAGACCCAAGGAAATGGGTTTTTGATGTTCTAAAACTATGAACAAAACTTATGATATGGTGGAGTGACATTTTTTATTCGAAGTGATGGGAGCTATGCAATTTGATATGAGGTGGAGTAAGCTGATTAGCAAATACTTTGAGGGTGTGGAGTATTGTATTATTTGTATACACTAGTAATTCACCCGTGCGATGCACGGTCAGGATTTTTTTTTGCTATTATGTCCGTTACAATTGTTTTTCAAGCAATTGCGACAAAATGTCTGAGTCTGAACCAAAATGTCCTTTGGAAGCAAGCACGGTTGTGAATTTTTTTTTCCAACTCATTTATCCTTTGGAGCGCGCCAGACTGAGTCTGAACCAAAATGTCCCTCTCACCCAAGGATTCATCAAAATCACCCACAACCAAAGCTGCCACCTCCGACACTGACGGCAGATTGTATGTCCGAGCATCGTCGTATCGCTTTCCTATAAGCTTTAGCTTCACATCTGGGGCACTGTTTGTGTCAATTTTCTCTTTAGCAAGACGAAAGGACTTCACCAGAACATTATGTTGATTGAGCATCTCAGTCAAGCTGAGCACTATCCCCTGGTCCAACTTCCTCTGATTAACACCGCGATTGATTAAATATCATAGAGAACTTAGGGTGAAATAGTAATACACTGATTAAAAAAAACGGATTGAAAATCTTCTAACCCGATAGATGAAAATCTATTCTGAACTTCATTCTCGGTGTCATAGATATACAATTGTGCACATTTGGGCTTCGCACCAGGCGGAGGCAACAAACTACCAATTAAGTGATAATTCTGCCCATGGAGTTTAAATATCGGAGGAGATCTTCCTCTATTGACATTTCCCTCAACCCGACCTCCCATGGACGTAAAGGAAAACATACTATTGTAAGATCTTATGTTTTCGAGAAAATGCCTACTACGCTCATCAGTACCATCTATCAATCTAGCCAACAACAACGGCGGCTCTTTCATAACAGGCAACACAACCTTGTTTTGGCTACAACAAAGGGAAAATTTAGGAAGATTCTTCTTTGAATATGACAGGATACGCTCATCAAACCAAAACGAAGCGCTACAGAACTCACAGATGTAGATACAGTCACCAATGTCCCAATAATCTGCAAAAATTTAATACCAAGCTGCAACGATGAATAAAACTCAAAACCTGCATTAAAATTTAACACTTCACAAATTTTGCGCACCAATATGCATGTCCCTGTTTGTTGAGGAAGTCCATCATAGTCAACGTACTCATCATCCAGATCACTATCATAGAAGGACGACACATCAAAATCCAAAACATGTGATAAAGGCGACTGGTGTGCACTCGAAGCACGAATATCTTCCACAGACGTTTGAGGACCAAAAAAGCCTAACCATGAAAGTCAAACGAACTTAATACAAAACGGTATCGATGAAATCCCAAACATAATATGATGCGGAATTGGATACAAATTTAAAAATAGCTGATGAGAGACCAACCAACACTGATAGAGGGAGAAGTTGATCTTAGGAGCGGCCCTGAATTTAGGGAAGGAGCAGCAACGTGGGAGGTTGAAGACATGGAACGATGGCAGTGTTGTTTGGTCGGGGACATAGCAACCTCATTGTCCAAAGTGCCTATACCATTAATCGGAAAATATTATTTTTACATACGTAACAAAAGAACACAAATTACATACGTGCATCCAAAAAACTAATTTAAAAAAATCCATAAATACTACCTCCGTTCTCTTTTAGTTGCAACATTGGACTTTTTAGACTATTCACATATTCTACTTTGACTACATTTTACTAATAGATGTATAATAAATAAAATATTTACAAAATATTGTTAAATTCTTCTCATTCCAAAATTTCAAAATCTGAATTTTTTAAATTTTTTACCAATAAGGAATGAAAGATATTAATGGTCAAATTTGTGTGTTGGCAAACGTGAAATGTTGACTGTTGCAATTAAAAAGAAACGGAAGAAGTAGATGTTTTGAATATAACAAAAAAGAATAATATCTCCCATCAAAAGAAAAGGTGAAGGGTACCCTTCAAAGGGAAAATTATAAGACATATTAAAAGAAATACTACCTCTTCAATTTTTCAATTGAAACATTGCAGAAAAATATTGTTAAATTTCTACAATTATAATTTTATAAAATATTAACTTTTTTAATTTTTTAATAATAAAATAGGAAAAATATTAACTGTCAAACATCCGCGGCGACAAACCTAAAAAGTTGACTGTTGCAATTAAAAAGAAACGGAGGAAGTTTCTTTCAGCCAAACACAAACAACCCACCAGAATTTAAATCCCAAACAATGAGCCCAAAACATTTCGGACGCTGGATCATGTATTTCAGTCCAAACACAGCCCGATAACCCAAGGATTTTATTCCTCTCATCATAACCCACTAACCTCCCACTTCACCCTAAAATTACGCCGACACTCTCAGTTCGTGTAACCCTCCCCCCTCTGTCTAACGAACGACACAGATCGGAAAACTCCCTCACCGGCAAATCGCATATCCGCGTTTAGTTGACCAAAATAACTCCGGCCGGTTGAGAAAAAACACCATAGCATACTGCCGAGCCTAAATCCAAACCACACACCACAATCTGAAAGACACAGAAGCGAACACAGAAATCCATCGCAAAGTCGAGGTCAGGGACAGATCCAGAGCAACGCCGCGTGAACGCCGGAAGCTCGGAGCTTTCACCGACGGAGAAGGAACAACGCTGTTCGTCAAATGATTCACAGGTAAACTCACTAACTCTAAAACTCACAAAACCACAAAACCTAACCCACACCTTCTGCATGCACCAAGACATCACGAATCCATCAACAATCTGGCGATTTTTTTTTTCAAAAAAACTCTACAAATTTATCATAAATCTTTACCTCAAAAAATGAAAAAAAATCAGTTCCGATTTAGTTTCTTATTCAACGGAGATACACAATAATCCAAGACGGAAATATTTTGTATTCACGAAATTGTAATTTGAAAAGAAAAATACGGAAAATATATTGCCCGAAAACTATCAACAAAGAAAAACAGATATCTGCAAAATCCGAACGTCTCTGTATTTTTTTTCCACGGTCTAAAAAATAACTCAGAATACACCCGTTAATTTCAGCAAACATTAAGCAAACAATTTTAACCAAAGAGAGAGATCTAATTTACAATTTCATTTTTAAATCAATTCTATCAGTTAACTGCCATTTGTGTGTATCACGATTATCTGTGATAAAATTTTATAAATTTAATGTTATTATTAATAATACGAAACACACTTTTAACTTTTATTTTGAATGTATATACCCCCTATGTCGGTAAGAACGTAGTTAATTTGTCAAAATTAAAAATTAAAGCGAAATGATTTTTTAGAATATTTTTTAGAACTAAGTAATTGGAAGTATCCACAAATTACGTGTAAAATTTTTTCTTATCAAAAAACCGTGCATCAAAATTTTTTTTTGAAAGAAGAATCTGGACACACTAAGAAAGTACAAACAAAATAATGGAGTTCTGCGTTTTCTCAGACATGGACCCACCCACGTTCCATTTTCAAATTAAAAACATCTACCCAGAACATTTAAGTCCAACCACTCCCCACCCAACTTCATTTATTATTCTCGAAACACCCAACCACTACCCACCCTTTCAAACTCTAGCACATTGAGCCCCCCACCACTTTCCAGCCCACTTAAATGCAGAAATAAAAATCCATCGGTCAAGAATTCAACCTTTTCTATTAAAAAGATACACAAATATTTACTCCCAACCAACAACAATAATGACAAACCAAACTCCCACCCACCAGCATAAATGACAAATACAGCTCCCTCCCTCAACCATATATGACTACAAACACAGCCCTTCACCAAAACCAAACCCCCACCACTCGGAACACCATCCTTACCCATACAAAGATGAAGATGCATAAATTCCAAAGGGAAACACTCACTTTATACAACAATTAATCCTATTCTACACCTCCTATCCGGACACCAAAAAGGTATTAACACAGAACGTGAACCCTTATTAATATTATTTGTTATTCCCGCATTCAATCCGACTTAGCTAACAAAGTTGTATACTGCATATCCACTACTGCCCCATAGCCGAAGTCCATTTGGATGGAGAAAGCATCATCAACACAAAGGAGATAAAAGGTGTCCTTCTAGCAATGTAAATCATTTATGATTATTCATTATAAGTTTTCATTTTCTCATTAGCATCTAATTAAATGACTGACCAAATAATTGATCTGTTTCTGTTGAGGTGAATGATACACCACACTCAAAGTCACAGCGTATAGGTAACAACCAAAATTCTTATTATTTCATATGTTTCTATAAAATATAAGAACCACAAATTATTTATTAATACTATTCCTAAATTCACGCAATTCAATGAGAGGAAATCAATACACTGGGAGAAGACAAAGATGGTGAGGATAGTGCACAGGACCAGCATATATAAAGTAAAGGTAATATCCTAATTGTAAATGAATTGTGATGTATAAATTTTTTCAAAAAAACCATACGAAATGTTAACCATACACCCTATCTTTGAAATTCATTCTTACACACTTATATTTTCTCGAGATCAAACACAAATATTTTTATTGAACACATCACCAAAGATCACATACACCATCGAAATTTGAAATTTAAAAGTTGATGATACCCTAGTTCTAAGGAGACTAAACTAATAACCATAATCACAAAAGCCTTAACCTTGCACAGAATTTACCTCGGTTGGATCTTTTGGATCCCAACACACATGATTTAATAATTTATTTTCACTTCAATTCATTTTCATTCCTTGTCCATTGTTTTACAATTTAATAAATAAAATCGGAATCATTGTTCATTTCTGGTGTTGATGGAAACTTGGACTTGCAGGGACCTGCCTAATTATCTTGAGACTGCGGCTTGGAGGAATCCCTCTGTGAAGGGATTTTATTTTTTTGTTTTTTTTGTTCTTGTTCCTATCATGGGTCTGTAAATGTAATAAATAGATGTAGGGTAGATGTAGGGCAACACACCCACATCCAAAGAGATAAGAGGTACGCCACTCCATTCACACCCTCCATATGAATCTCGTTATATCACATTGCCATTATATGTGCTGCATTACACACTCGCCACAAACCCAGTTTTCCAAACACTTCTTCTTTAAAATTTTATTCCCAGAAGACTAATAGGGGGAAAACATGTCTGTAAATTGTGCCTAAAGAAAGTATTCTTGACACATTAAAAAAAATGACTCATAATTTTTGAAGAAAATCCTTAGTCTTATTCCATATAGCAAGCTTAAAAAATTAGCAATTATAAGAACTGCTGCAGTAAAACGAATTGCCCTGGACATCCAGCAATTCAGGGGGTGGTATGTAGTGGATATTTATTGTGTGTGAATCATTCGTACCCCCAGGGGGGTGATATAACTAACTGCCTAGGTATAACTAACTGCCATGGTTATGCCAGCCAATCAGGGGGGTGATATATGGTATATTATGTGATCAATGCTGTTTTCCATTTAACAGAGACACTAACAAATACTCCTTTCAAACCATTTTCATTATGTTCCCTTTGTGTTACATACTATCTAATAACATTGAAATTATTGTTCATTTCTGGTGTTCTATTAAAAAAGATCCAATTTTTTGTCAAGAAAATCCTTAGTCTGGTTGTTCACATAGGTTTTTAAAAAAAATAATAAAAAAAGAAACTTCTTATGGAAAATGGAACCCCTTTGATCTCAAAGGCATCACTCTTGTTAAAAAAACGAAGCCTATAGGCACTTGTTGAGGTTTTAAAGAACATGTACTTCTCTTCCATCATGAAGTTTTTCACTGCAAACAAACGTTGCTCCTTGAAAGTACCAATGAACTTGTTGACAAACTGGTCCGGAATATGAGCATGCATCATATACCCCTGAAATTAACCAAAATGTCAACACATGTTTTACTTAAATGGTAAAGCAAAGGAATATTATACAGAATTTTAGACGTCCAAACCTCTTCGTCATGAAACGCAACTTCCAAGGATTCTAGAAAACAGTCATGCGCTAGTTCAAGATACACCCTTATTGCCCCTAGCCTTGACTGCCCATAGTCTGATCAATCTCATGAAATACGGACCACATTCCAACCATCTTTAAGAATGAATGCTTGAATGTATTTTTTATCTTGTTTGCTAAGAGATGGGGAGACTGAAACAATATTGTTGCTGTATTTATAAGCGGAGGTCCCAGTCTATCTGCCATCTAAGTATTTTATTTGTAAATGTAATGGGGGGAACACTATTCATCTTAATTTGAATTTCAAAATTGTTTCTTTATTGCCCGCCAAGAGTCTCTCACTTGTGACAATAAAGACACTGTTTATAACCAAAAAGTAGCCAATGAAAATGTAAATAGGTGCGTGACAAATCCAAGGGAAATCCAATACAGATTTATGCCAGCTCATTACCCCAAACTGACCAATCAAAAACCATTGTTGAGCTATTACAAAATCTGTAAGAAATCCAAACAGTGACTCAACTTCCTAAAACCACACATTTCACGCAAAAGTAATTGCGTAGTACACTTTGCCAGCTCATACTCCACTATTAGACCAATACTCCACTATTAAACCAATTAAAATTCATTTATGCGGAAACCTTTATTAATTAACCTAACCAACTCCTAACGTAATGAGTATTTAACCACAAACAATGACAGTGACGTTTTTGAGCGGGAATTGCTGGCCCTCTTTTATTTTGCTTTTAGATTATAATAGATTTCTATGGCTCTCTTATTGGGCCGATAAGTCATCAAAAGGGCTTTCGATAGGAGATCCGATCCCCTATCTCCATATGTATTTATCTTGGTTGCCGAAGGTTTAAACGTGCTTACCCGGAAAAACGAAAACTTGGACCAGCTACATGGGATCTCAGTTGCGAGAGGTCTGCCTCAAGTGTCTGATCTATTTTTTTAGGGAATTTTTCACACATAAGCCTAAAAGAGAAAATAATACGATAGTATCAACTTTTTCAGTTTATAATTTCGCTTTCAAAAATAATCCACTTAAAGTTTTCATTTCATAAATAGACCACATGTACGATTAAGTGATTAACGGACTAACGCCTACGGGACAGAAAATAAAAAAGTGACCGTAGGCCTGCTGGCTACCAGCTACAACGGTAAAAAAAGAAGAGACAGGCGGAGCAACACCTAAAAATCCAAAATAACTTTGAATTTCTAAGGTAGAAAAACAAAGCCATAGTTCAAATTGCTTCTCCTGCAAAGAACAAATTTCCATGCATGATGCATCAAAACAAAAGCATATACACATTGTATATGTGTGTATACACGCGTCGCATCACATATTGGTTAGATGAAACATTTGTTTAAAAACTCTAAACCAACTTAGAAATACTACCTTCGTCCCATTTTATGTGTCTTAGTTTGACTTGACACGATTATTAATGAAGTGGTTGAAAAAGTAAAAGTTGTGGTTAAGGTTTGAGTATAATAAAGTCAAGTGGTGTAGATCACATATTTTTTCCCAAAAAAGAAATGAGACACTTATTTTGGGACAACCCAAAAAGGAAAATAAGACATGTAAAATAGGACGGAGGGAGTAATAAAATATAATGTATCATTATTTTATATATTTTCATTTTGAAAATAAAAATATAATGTATCATTATATATATATATATATATATATATATATATATATATATATATATATATTCATTTTTTTGTTTTCCCTTTCATTGAAGTATTGACAAATCTAAGTAAAACTAATGAAGACAATTTAAAATTATCAAACGAAATGTATTTTTTAAATTGTGAAACAATTAAAAAATTAAAAATACAAAACTCGAAACTGAAAATGTACTGTGAAAACTCATAATTTTTCTCAAAATGTAGAAAATGACAAAATGTCTAAAAATGAAAATAGTTTTAAAATAAAATAAAATGTGATATTTTAGTCATTTAGTATTTATCCAAAAAGTCACAATATTTAATTGATATTATTTTTATATCACTCAACGCATGTATGGAGTTTTTATATAAAAACATATAGATATATAGAATACTAAACACTATTCTAGAAAATGAAAAGATCAATTAAACAAAAAATCTGAAAAATCATAAAACAATTTATAAATTTCAGGAAAATATAAAAATAATTTTTTGTTGCATATGATTTCTTTGTGTTTCTTTTTGTTGATAACTTTAAAATTTTTGTTTTTTATTGTTTCTTCTTATTTCTTGTTGTAAATATTTATGAATATGACTTTATCATGTTATGCATACATTGTTAGATTATGTTGCATTTGCTAAAATAAATTAAAATTTTAAAAAGCGACACCACACAACAAAAAGAAACTCTATATAAGAAATAGCAACAAAATGAAACAAAAAGAAACAACATGCAACAACCAGAAACAACATGCAACAAAAAGAAACAAAATAGATAAACACAATATGTACAAGTTTCCAATAATGAATACATTATACGTATTGAATTTATGATCAGAATTAGCATTACAATTTCATTATATTGTCTGTCGCGTTTCTATAAGAATGAGAAAACAAAGTTTCTTAAATAGCACCATCTTTGTACCATATACTAAATTTATTTCTTCTAGAATTTGCAAACTTTTCCTCTACTCTCCCCCACTCTTGCTCTTAGAATATTGTGATCTCTCATATCAGCATCTACATCATCATCACAACCATTATCATATGATTCAAGCGGAAGAAGTGCATTATCGAAGGCAAGCTGAGGAGATTGAGAGAATGAGTGACAATTAAGACTAATCCCCTAATAACTTTGTTTTTTTACAAAGTTTCCTTGCCTAGCTTAGAAATTCCTGCCTCACTCTTTGAAGCCATTCTATAAGTAAGATATATGAACATCACTGAAGGCATACCATTATCATCAAGTAATGGTTAGATATAACATTAAGCTATAACAACACATAAATCTGAGCATAAATGCTTAAACTATAGTTTGAATATTCATCAACATTTCTAAAGTATATTCTAACTCCCATGACTAAAGTTCAAGCTCAATCATCACAGTTTCTAATGTGATTTTGAAAAAAAAAAAATAAGAAGTATATTCAAACACATAAGAATGGAGTAAGTGGTTCTTTGTTTCAAACCTACAATACAAAACTACTTACGAGTCATACAATCTTTGATACACATGTTTGCACCTGAGCGGTTTAATTCTGCTATGGTGCTCCAATTTGTGCATTCAACGACTACGCCTAAGTTTATTTACATGCATTACACGAAGGTTTCCTCACAAAGGATACGTCTTAAATGAGTCATCAGTACTAAATTAAGCTTCAATTATAGTGTTATCCTATTGTACAAAAGATATATAAATGGCAGTTAATTCATCTGAAGCAATCCTTTTCAGACATATACGAATATGTGAGCATCCCAGGATTGATTGGAACAGAAAACCCTTCTCCTTCAAGGAGCAAAATCAATCTCATGAGTGCTTAGATATTTATACTGAAGCACTGCTGGAATAAATTAAAATTAATTGTGCAGAGAACAGGGCACTCGCTAGCTTCTGGAAAAAATAAGATTCTAAACATCCTTCATTGTTTCATTTTCTAAAGTCTAAAGAGCTTATTCTAATTTCTATTTGAAAAGAAAAGAAGCAAGACAATCACAAAACTCTACCTCAAACATTCAAAAGGCCCAATGACACACTTTATTGATAATTAAGCCCAACAGAAAACGAAAAATGCTGTGTCATACTACGTATAAGCTTAGAAGAAATAATGCATAAAAGGAACGAAGATAAAGCAAGACTAACTAGGAACATACAAATGAGAGACGTTGCAAACTATTAATCATGGATATGAGTATTATTTCACCATAAAAGTTGCTTGGAACAAAGCTCATTGGGAGAAGTAAAAAACAACAAAGGAATTGTTATTTTTTAAGTAAGGAATGCTTATCATACCAGGTTTTGTAATCGTTCCATTGTAGCTATGGCTCCAGCCAACAATTATAGCTATAGAGGACAAGATATATATTCCTGCCAGTTTTTCAATTGCTGTCATCCGCATGGTCATGGTGCCTTGCTGGGAGAGGCCTTTGCACCCAATTGCATGGTGACTGACATGACGGTAGACATGGCAATCGAGATACCTCCGAGGCTCTGATGAAGAGAACTAGCAGATTGTTGATTTTGTCCATGTGTATCTGGTGTTGGACAATAAACGTAACATCACGGCAAACTCGACGACAATCCCCAAAGAAATAGTTCTGATGGAGAAGTTACCGATGGAAGTCATGACCTTCTCGAAGAGCTGCTTTGCCGAAGAAGCTAGTCGTCGACGCCGATGGAAACAATTGCCTCGATGTCGACCTGTTTACAGGCAACACATAGAAAGTAGAGAGGATGCTATGGCAGAAGCACGACGCATCGCTAATTCACATGTGTCTTACGGCGCCGATTCTTAATTGGGCGAGCACGCCTCCGTCGGAAGTTTAGGGTGAAGCCGTGAAGGTATGATTACTTTTGAAATAAAAATCCCAAAAGTGAATATATAAAAGTTAGGAGATGAAAAGAAATCTGCGCGTCGACATAAATGAAATAGGAGGGTTAAAAGTTGCTGGTTCGGGTAATTACCACATTTTTTTAGGGCAAAGGGAAAGGAATGGGGCACGGTCTGAGGTGTACTTCAATCCTAGCCGGGACAAAAAATAAATTTTCAAAAATCTTCTATTTTTTTTATTCTCAATGTTTCTAATGGAGAGAAAAACAAGTTTAGTGAGCTATTGGGGGTCCCGAAGGAAGAGAAATGTAACAATTAATCGGGTTTATTGAGAGAGATTTCTAAAAAAAAAACTAGCTGGAATTATTTTTTTATATCTAAAGTGGGAAGAGAAGTCCTATTGAAAACGATTATGCATGCATGTAATGCCCTCTTATGCTATGAATGGTTTCCTTCTACCGATGGAGTTGCACAGGATTTTGAGGGTAGCTTCGTGACTTCATCAAGGGAGGATGGAATTCTAGCACAGCCAATTGGTCACCTAGTATCACGGAAGCTATTAGAGTGCTAGAAGCGGCATCATGGGATCAAATGCAAGGTCAGGAGCGGGTCATATACGTAGGTGATTACATCAAGGTTATTAGAAGATGACTAAGGGGGTGTTTGGATCTGATTCTCAAAACTGATTCTGCTCTTTTAGGGAGCAGAAGCAGAAGCTGGAGTGTTTGGGTAAAATTCCAGAAGCACTTCTGATGCTCTAAATTACTCCCAGAATCAGTTTTTTTAGAAGCTGTGGGGTACCAGCTTCTGAAAACTGATTCTGATTCTGCTTCTTCTTTAAAAAAGAAGCAGAAGCAGAATCAGTTCCAAACACCCCCTAAGGGAGCTTATATTTGGATATGGTTATTGGAGACATTAGACATGTTGTGCGTAATGAAGCATATTTTTTTTGTTCACCATTGTACACGATCTGGAAATCGTGCAACCCAATGTTTAACCAGGGATGACATTTCTAATGTACGTGGGTGGTAGCGACTAGCGAGTTTGGTTTGAGCCCGATTTGTATCTGGAGCCAACTGACGAACGATTGCTTTGGTTAATGAGAATTTGTATGTTTTTCTTAAAAAAAAAGTAAAGTTTGGCTATTTGTGGAGGCACCATGAATAAAGAAAATGATTCTTTCATGTTTTTTAATCTAAAAACCTTCATGTTTTTAAAAGTTTTTTTAATCTAAGCAATATGAGTGTCTTATGGCTTTAGCCTTTTTTTTTTCCTTCCTTTCCTTTGTTCGGCCCCCCTATCATTTCTCCACGTTTAGCCCGTTCCATGCATTCTTCATTTTAACACCCTCATTTGATTCTTCAAAATGTTTATTTTAACACTTTTTACTCCTGTACACCTGATACATACCTTTAGACTACAAGTGGTCTACGGGTATTAAATGGGAGAATGAATTGTAGTAAGTTACATCGTACTTGGCAAAAGAGAGATGGTGATAAAATAAATATGTTAATTTTTAAGATAATTATATTAATTTAAAATAGAGAAAGTTATGTGAAGAGAAACATGAAAAAGATGAGAAAGATAGAGAGAAATTATAGATGTGCAGTAGTGGGTCTATTACAAGGTTCACATCTGGACCTCACGAGAAAAAGTGATGACAAGTAGATAAAAATGATACAATGAATGAAAAACTAAATAAATTAGAAAATATTTTCTCTCTATTTAAAAGTTCACTACATTAGGTCATGACAAAATATTTAAGGGAAAATAATAGAGATAATGAATAATAATGTTGAAAAAGTAAGAGGAAGGTAAATATGTAGGAAAAATAAGAAAAAGTAGAAAATGTAAAGATTGCAAAACTTTTAAATACACCCCAAAGAGAAAAGTGTATCAAACTTTTAAATATGGAGGAAGTGTGTAGGTCTTGATACGTAAAAATTGTGAGATAAAAATAAGATGAGTAAGGAGGTAAAGGTGCTCTCATATCCTCCGATTGAAGATGCTCTAAGCCCTAAGGGCATCTCCAATGGAGAGGTGGATTGCATCTCCATCTCACCAAATGCACTCCCTTTTTGTAAATGTGATCTCCAATGCAACAAAAAATGAAGTAGGTGAAGCTTAGTTGGCAAAGGAGAGCGATGATCAAAGTCTTGCACAAGGTCCATTGATAGATCTTGGGTCTCACCTCACCAAGTTTAAAATGCAATGATTTTCTCTATTTTGCTTTGAAGTTCTTTTTGCATTGGAGTAAGAAAAAAATAGACCCCTTCAAATTGTTTATTTTGCCCCACAAGCTCTATAGACCCTTTGCATTTGGATGACACATCCACCACCAATGCACCTAAAGCGTTGGAGATGCTCTAAGGGCTAAGTCTAACTTTTTTATCATTTCTATGTCCCCAATATTGTATCCTGAATTGTGCTTTGTTTTTTAATCCACGACCTTTTAAAAAAATATTGCTTCTCTCCTTTATAGTTTTGTCATATTTCTTTTTTTATTATCCCAGAAAAATTATCACTTTTCCTTTTTAACAATTAAGTTTTAATTCTTATTACTTTTTTTTTTCACAAATTTCAATCACGTATATTTTTTTTTTAAAAAAAATAAGAGTTACAGTCCGAACATTTTATGATATGTTCACAATAATCTCAAATATATAATATTGATTATTTCTATAGAATTCCAACTTTATGATTTCTCCGCCAATAATGATTAATGATCGGATTTAACCTCCTATATATAGCAGGTTAATTTTAAATAAAAACTAAGCATATTTTATAAATGTTTCAAATTATGTTCGCTCTTCTATTAATAATCCCAACGGTCAACGTAATTTTTCTTACAAAACGCAGAAAATGTATAAAAAAAAACAAAATTAATTAGGATTTTATAATATTCAAATTTGACTAAAACAAAAAACCTACCACATTTTAAAAAACAAAAGTTTTACATTTTATTAAGTATTTCTATTTGTAGAAGTATAAAATTTATTATATTTTATCTTTTTTACTTTTTTAATTCTAAAAAAAATAGTTTTTTATTTTTAACTTTGAATTTGTACTTAATTTGCACTTTTCTTTTTTCCTTTAAAGTTTTAAATTTGCCTTTTTACTCTCTTTATTTGTATATTTTATATTCTTCATACATTTATAATGGCTTACATATTATAAAATTTATGTAAGTTTTTCCATAGTTTATAATTATATATTTTATATTCTTTAATTCCATAAACTATCTAAAAAGTTTATTACAGTAAAAATAAATATCCATAATCAATTTTTACCACTTTTTATTTATTTATGTTAGAACTTTTATTGTGGGTCAAGTTTGTCTGTAATGTCTTGTTTAAATAAAGTAGACTAGTTATACCATTTATGGTATTAGATTAGTATTTATTATGTAGCAAATAAGGTAAAGGGAATAAGGCCCAAAAAGGCCTTGGCCCAACTTCCAAGGTTTACCTAAATCGGTAACCTGTACAGCGCCTATAAATATGCGCCTTGTGTACAGGTACCGATATCAATCAATCAATACACATTAGCCTTACGCTGCCAAATTTACTTCTCGATACTACAGAAAGAAGGTTTCACTGTTCTCGACATAGCTTATATCATTATATGAAATCTTTCTCTTCTGTCTATCGATGATGCTCATCTAGCTGATCGTTAGTCTGCTGAACTGGGACCAACAACTAGTATCAGAGCCTGCTCGAGTGTGATCGTAGAAGAAAAGTTTTCGAAGTTTCTCTGTTTTCATACTTTTCGATATATTTCTTTGTAATCACTGTAATCTTGTTTCTGATCGATAAACTGTAAAAGTTATATCATTGGATTCGCCATTCTGAAACGAACCAAGGGTATATCTTACTTTTCGATTTCAGTAGATTCGGTATTTTTGATTTCTCGATAGTATGAGTTCGAAAAGCAGGGTTCTCGACATTTAAGCAGGTTTTTCAGGACGATAACTATACAGGAAGACTCTCGAGATCGAAAACTTCACAGAAAAGTTGTTTTAACTGTTTTAATCTGAAATTTTGATTTGCAGGATTTCGATACTACGTTCTCGATACAAGTTCTCGAACTGAGTTCTCGAGATTGCTTTCTCGACACTCAGTTTTCGATACTAAATATCTAAAACTCTGTTTTTTCGAATTGCAGGTTCTCGATACAGCTTCTCGACACTCAGTTCTCGAAACTAAGTTCTCGAACTTAGCTTCTCGATACTGAAGTTCTCGATACAGCTTCTCGAATCCTGCTTCTCGATAAACAGTTTCTCGATATTCACTATCGAAAACTGGTTCTCGATAGAACTTCTCGAACCCTAGTTTTCGAATTTTTTCTTGAATTAGGTTTTCGACATTCTGCATCTTAAATTTTTTTCTGATCAAAACACTCGACCGATCTGTTAAGGCTCAATCAGCAAAGATGGAAGCATTAGCACTTGGAAATGACAACAGACCACCCATCCTCAGAAAAGGAGAATATCAGATGTGGAAGACAAGATTCTTGAACTTTCTGGAAGGGAAAGACAATTCATCTGCCATGCTTGAATCACTTACACAAGGTCCTGCTGAGATCTATACTGAAGTAGATACCTCAGATGTAAACAACCCCCCTGTCAACTATGTGAAAAGATTGAAGACAAAAGGCGAATACACTGAGGCTGACAAGTTGAGAATCAAAGCTGATCTCATGGCAAAAACTTACCTGCTGCAGGCTATCCCCAATGATATCTACATTCTGATAGACAGCATGGAGACAGCAAAGGAAATGTGGGATGAGGTGAAGAAGTTAATGATTGGAACTGATCTTGGTTTGAAGACAAAGAAAGCGAACATCTTGACCGCCTATGACGCTTTTAAAGCCCTACCTGGTGAGGCGCTCCATGAGACGTATAACAGATTCGTACAACTGATCAATGAGATGAGGAAGATCAAAGTTGTCAAATCTAATATGGAAATGAACATACGTTTCTTGTCGAGCCTGCCGCCAGAATGGAGAAGAACTGTCAAGAATCTACGACAGCACCTAGACTTGGATGAACTTGATCTCTGCACTGTCCATGAACATCTGCAGCAGTTTGTTAATGACACTGCTGAGATGGAAGGAAGCTTCTCCGCTAATCCTCTAGCACTAATGATTGAAGCTAAATCAAAGAGTTCATCTAAGGGTCCGAAGAAGAAGAAGGCTGTCAAGATAGAGTCTGAAGAAGAAGAGAGTGAAGAAGAAATGGATGTTGAATCCGAGCTGGCCGATCTACAGAAGAAGATGGCACTACTTACCAATCAGTTCAACAAAAGGTTTGCCAAGAAAGGAAGTTCATCAAACAAGCTCCGAACCTCCTCAGCCAACTACAAAACAAAAACCAATGATCAAAACTCTTCTAGTAGAGTAGTTGCAGCCGAAGACCCCCTCAAATGCTTTAACTGTGGAAAAGCTGGACATGTTATCAAGGACTGTCGCTTACCAAAGAAGAGGGACTTCAACTATTACAAGCAAAAGATGCTGTGGAACAAGCAGAAGATGTTCATGGCCAAACAAGATGATGATAGTGCTGCAACTCCTACTGAGAATGATCCATGGCAGGAGGAGAGTTCCGATGATGAAGAAGAAGAGAATCTGGCCCTGATGGCATTTGTAGAAGAAGAAGGAAAAGACAAGGGTGATGCTGCGACACCCGGAAGAGGTCAAAGTTCAAGCTCAAACACCACTGTAAGTACTTCTGAACCTTCTTGCTCCTGTACTTGCAAAGTTCATTCCTCACAAGAAAAGGATAACACCATAAAGGAGTTAAAGGGCAGGTTAGATCATAACTACAAAGTTGCACTTGACACTCTAGATAAGAGTCACTCTCTGAAGTTGCAACTAGAAAATGAGAAAGAAAGAGTTCAGAAACAAAATTTAGAAGCAGAGAAGCTTACACAAAAATTAACTGAACTAACTAAGAAGGTCAGTGACACAGAACTCGAACGAAATGTTGCGAAAGCAGAAAATGATTTTCTACGCAAACAAAGATGTGCTCTTTACACAAAAATCAAAGAATTAGAAGACCTGCTGGTCAAAA